TCAGAAAATAATTTTTTTTGTGCGCTGATACTGATTTTAGTGTGTTTTAACAATTGAATTGTGTATTTTTATCGGTTTAATATTAATTTGAGAAACATTTGCGCAATTATCGCACGGCCTACAAATTTAGTATCACCATCTTATTATTCTACCAGGCCTGCGCTTTCAGAAAATATATGGTTTGGGGGGTCTTTAACAAACGCTAGCAACCCAGCAGTTGAAAATCAAATTAATAGGAAAAAATTGCAAAAAAGGCTTGGCCAGCTGATTTGAAAAATGTTCCGGAGGGCTTGGCAGCGAAAGGGTTAAAGCAGTGGTCTCAAAGTACCGGCCCGCGAGCCGGTACTACGTGGCCCGCAGCCAGCGCACAAGTCAGGTAAGCGGTCACAGACCGCGTGCCCGACTTGTGGGAGCAGCTACACGGTCTGCATCTCTATCGAATGCAGACCGCATAGCTGCTTCTGTGTTGGCACTCTGTGATTGATTGGTAAGGTCTGCTGCAGACCTCACTATTCAATCACCAATGATCGTGCCTCCTCACACAGCCTCCTCCCTGCAAAAAGGTAAGCAGGAGAGGGGGCTCTGTATTACATTTTCGATGTAAGTGTGTGGGGGATGACTGGGGCTGTGTTATTTTATATGTGTCAGGGGTGGGGGGGGACTGTATTATTTTATATGTGGAGGGGTATTTTTTTGTGTATGTACAGGGGGTGTATTTTTTTATATGTAGAGGGGTAGTATTGTTTTATGTGTATGGGGGGGGTGTATTAATTATTTGTGCAGAAGTAGTATTTCTTATGTGTATGGAGGGGGGTGTATTATTTATTTGTGCAGAGGTAGTATTTCTTATGTGTATGGAGGGGGGTGTATTATTTATTTGTGCAGAGGTAGTATTTCTTATGTGTATGGAGGGGGGTGTATTATTTATTTGTGCAGAGGTAGTATTTCTTATATGTATTTTATATGTAGAGGGGTAGTATTGTTTTATGTGTATGGGGGGGGTGTATTATTTGTTTGTGCAGAGGTAGTATTTCTTATGTGTATGGGGGGTGTATTATTTATTTGTGATGGGGTAGTATTTCTTATGTGTATGGGGGTGTATTATTTATTTGTGCAGGGGTAGAATTTTTTATGTGTATGGGGGTGTATTATTTATTTGTGATGGGGTAGTATTTCGTATGTGTATTGGTGTATTATTTATTTGTGCAGGGGTAGAATTTTTTATGTGTATGGGGGTGTATTATTTATTTGTGATGGGGTAGTATTTCGTATGTGTATTGGTGTATTATTTATTTGTGCAGGGGTAGAATTTTTTATGTGTACGGTAGGGAGGTGTATTATGTGCAGGGGTAGTATTTGTTATGAGGTTGTCGGTTGCTTCATTTTGCCAGCCTGATTTGGTTACTCAGAAATGCTTTGTCAAAGACACTGTTTTTGAGTATAATATATTAAGCTTTTAATATTTGTGACTATTAAAACGGTATTTCATGAGGAAAAGGTGCTGTTCTTCTTTCCATTTTTTGGCCCATAATGCTTCCCTTTCACACAAAACTACAATGCACTGATGTGAACCAGCCACACAGGAAACAATGGGATGTCTGCTTGTTATACATTTTCATGCAGCGTAATGCATGCATTTTGCTGCATGAAAACAAGTGTGATTTGGCCCTTAAATTACTTGGAAGCGTTTAACCGAACCAAATGCAATTTTCTCTAAAAAGCACCCTTGGAGTCTGCCATTTGCCACCCCCTTCTAAAATAACGTGGTTGCTTGGCTGTGCCTGGTTTCAACAGCTTGAGTCACTGACGCAGAACAGACAGAAAGTAAAGTCAGGACACTGTGTCTGATGAAGGGGATAATGACATGCGTCAATACAGGACGAACATTTGGCCAAATTGTTTGGTGTGCTGGTGACATTCTGTTCTACGTTTGATGTCTGCAGTGCCATTCGCAGTCACTTCAGCACCAACCTTTAGGAGTTTTTCAGTAAGGAGTGCGGCAGGACATCCTAAGGACATCTAATCTGACACCCTTTTATCCAATCAGCAACCTCAGAAGCCTTCTCAACTTATTAAGGAGGAACTTCACAACTCTGCTTTTTTTTTTTCTCCATCCCCTCTTACTTACCTGCTCAGCAAATCCAGCGTTGTCCTGCTGCAATCTGCTGCCACAGGCCAGGTCCTGCACTGCCATCGCCCCTTCTTACGCCATTGGGAATCGGCTGTCCCTTTTGGGTTTGTGGCCAGCCACCTATGATGTGCCGCCAGGTCCGCCATCCAGTACTGTGTGTCTCTGTTCTGGGATATGTGGCAAGGATGATCCAGGAGGCTGCAGGAGAAAATGGGTGAATATTAAGGCAGGCAGCAAGCAAGGAAAAAAACACAAAAGGAAAAAAAAAAAGCTTAACTAGGTTGGAGAAGATTGCAGGGAGTCAATTATGAGAGTGAAGCTTCATTTTAACCTATTCAGGGATCTCTATCTATTATATAAAACATATACTGTATGTATGTGCTTCTCTGCATATAAACCACGTTGCGCAGTCACCACACTAACACTGTCCACACAGCGCCTCCCCATTCCCGCCACCAGGTTAGATTGGGTCACGTGATGACAGTGTTACGCAGGACACCGCCTCTTCCTTTCGTGTGACCCTGTCGTAGTGGATCGTAGTGCGCATGCGCAGGCCGGTGAGTTGCGGCCTGGTGGTTTCTCCGCAGGGTCGCACTGCTAAAGGAGACGAAAGGGAAAGTGCGGCGGCCCTTTGTAAGTGGCACTTAGGGTGGGCGCCTAGAATCGTGGAGGTCAGAGAAGCCGAGCCATGGAAGCGGATTATTACAGCCCCGAACACTCGGGTAAGAGGGGCGGGGAAGCATGTTATCTGCTCCGGATCATATGTGAGACTGATGCAGTGTGAGGCGCAGCCTTGATTTCCGGGTTCAAGCTGTGCTTTGTGTGATTTCCTGCCATCTACCTTTTCATCTGAGGATCCACTGAAAGTGCTAGGCCCAGGTGTAGTCATCACACAAGTAGGGGAAGCCTCACTCTACTGTAGTTATGGTCACACTCTTGCCATTGGCATAGATGGGAGCTGGGTGGATCTCTGGATTCAGGATCTGTCCTTGTCTATGGAAGCAGGTTGGCTCTTTATTGTAGTACCGACAAAGCAAACTCACCAACCAGCCTGTTCATAGTCTTCTGTAGAATGTACTCTGGCCTGTCAAAATGGCCAAAGACCATGCACCTGGAAGATGCCTGTGAGGGACCTTGCAAATGACCCATCACTGGAGCAGAGGTATTTGCAGTTCTTTTACCATTTAGGGAATTAAAGTAACACTAAACTCCGGAGTAAAGTCTTAAAAATCCATTTAGGTACCTTACATATTAACAAAAAATGGATCTTATTTGTGTATCACTGAGCTGTAGATCCTCAAATCATCTCTGAATTGGTGCTGACACTGTCCTTCCTTCTGGAGTGTGACTACTTTTGTTCCCCATGGTCTCTGTGTGCTGTAAGGTAGCCACCGCTCCAAGCTCACTCCCGTGATGGACTACAATCTCACGTTTGAGATTGTAGTCCATCTTATTATTTATTTGTGCAGTTGTAGTATTTGTTATGAGGTTGTCGGTTGCTTCATTTTGCCAGCCTGATTTGGTTACTCAGAAATGCTTTGTCAAAGACACTGTTTTTGAGTATAATATATTAAGCTTTTAATATTTGTGACTATTAAAACGGTATTTCATGAGGAAAAGGTGCTGTTCTTCTTTCCATTTTTTGGCCCATAATGCTTCCCTTTCACACAAAACTACAATGCACTGATGTGAACCAGCCACACAGGAAACAATGGGATGTCTGCTTGTTATACATTTTCATGCAGCGTAATGCATGCATTTTGCTGCATGAAAACAAGTGTGATTTGGCCCTTAAATTACTTGGAAGCGTTTAACCGAACCAAATGCAATTTTCTCTAAAAAGCACCCTTGGAGTCTGCCATTTGCCACCCCCTTCTAAAATAACGTGGTTGCTTGGCTGTGCCTGGTTTCAACAGCTTGAGTCACTGACGCAGAACAGACAGAAAGTAAAGTCAGGACACTGTGTCTGATGAAGGGGATAATGACATGCGTCAATACAGGACGAACATTTGGCCAAATTGTTTGGTGTGCTGGTGACATTCTGTTCTACGTTTGATGTCTGCAGTGCCATTCGCAGTCACTTCAGCACCAACCTTTAGGAGTTTTTCAGTAAGGAGTGCGGCAGGACATCCTAAGGACATCTAATCTGACACCCTTTTATCCAATCAGCAACCTCAGAAGCCTTCTCAACTTATTAAGGAGGAACTTCACAACTCTGCTTTTTTTTTTTCTCCATCCCCTCTTACTTACCTGCTCAGCAAATCCAGCGTTGTCCTGCTGCAATCTGCTGCCACAGGCCAGGTCCTGCACTGCCATCGCCCCTTCTTACGCCATTGGGAATCGGCTGTCCCTTTTGGGTTTGTGGCCAGCCACCTATGATGTGCCGCCAGGTCCGCCATCCAGTACTGTGTGTCTCTGTTCTGGGATATGTGGCAAGGATGATCCAGGAGGCTGCAGGAGAAAATGGGTGAATATTAAGGCAGGCAGCAAGCAAGGAAAAAAACACAAAAGGAAAAAAAAAAAGCTTAACTAGGTTGGAGAAGATTGCAGGGAGTCAATTATGAGAGTGAAGCTTCATTTTAACCTATTCAGGGATCTCTATCTATTATATAAAACATATACTGTATGTATGTGCTTCTCTGCATATAAACCACGTTGCGCAGTCACCACACTAACACTGTCCACACAGCGCCTCCCCATTCCCGCCACCAGGTTAGATTGGGTCACGTGATGACAGTGTTACGCAGGACACCGCCTCTTCCTTTCGTGTGACCCTGTCGTAGTGGATCGTAGTGCGCATGCGCAGGCCGGTGAGTTGCGGCCTGGTGGTTTCTCCGCAGGGTCGCACTGCTAAAGGAGACGAAAGGGAAAGTGCGGCGGCCCTTTGTAAGTGGCACTTAGGGTGGGCGCCTAGAATCGTGGAGGTCAGAGAAGCCGAGCCATGGAAGCGGATTATTACAGCCCCGAACACTCGGGTAAGAGGGGCGGGGAAGCATGTTATCTGCTCCGGATCATATGTGAGACTGATGCAGTGTGAGGCGCAGCCTTGATTTCCGGGTTCAAGCTGTGCTTTGTGTGATTTCCTGCCATCTACCTTTTCATCTGAGGATCCACTGAAAGTGCTAGGCCCAGGTGTAGTCATCACACAAGTAGGGGAAGCCTCACTCTACTGTAGTTATGGTCACACTCTTGCCATTGGCATAGATGGGAGCTGGGTGGATCTCTGGATTCAGGATCTGTCCTTGTCTATGGAAGCAGGTTGGCTCTTTATTGTAGTACCGACAAAGCAAACTCACCAACCAGCCTGTTCATAGTCTTCTGTAGAATGTACTCTGGCCTGTCAAAATGGCCAAAGACCATGCACCTGGAAGATGCCTGTGAGGGACCTTGCAAATGACCCATCACTGGAGCAGAGGTATTTGCAGTTCTTTTACCATTTAGGGAATTAAAGTAACACTAAACTCCGGAGTAAAGTCTTAAAAATCCATTTAGGTACCTTACATATTAACAAAAAATGGATCTTATTTGTGTATCACTGAGCTGTAGATCCTCAAATCATCTCTGAATTGGTGCTGACACTGTCCTTCCTTCTGGAGTGTGACTACTTTTGTTCCCCATGGTCTCTGTGTGCTGTAAGGTAGCCACCGCTCCAAGCTCACTCCCGTGATGGACTACAATCTCACGTTTGAGATTGTAGTCCATCACAGGAGCGAGCTTGGAGCGGTGGCTTCTTTACAACACACACAGGGAACAGAAGAAGCCACCCTCCAGAAGGAAGGACAGTGTCGGCACCAATTGAGAGATAATTTGAGGATCTACAGCTGAGTGATACACAAATAAGATACATTTTTGTTAATAGTTGGGATACTTGAATGTATTTTTAAGACACATGGTATTTGGCCACTGTAGAGGTGTTTATAAAGCGCCAACAATTTATGATGCGCTTTACATAGTTGTACATTCACATCAGTCCTTGCCCTCATGTCTTTGGAGTGCGGGAGGAAACCCACACAAGCACAGTGAGAACATGCAAACTCCTGACTGGGATTTGAACTAGGTACCTTCAGTGCTGCAAGGCAGAAGTGCTAACCACTATGCCACTGTGCTGCTCATAGGTCTGAGGACAGTAGACTGTCATTTATTCATTGGTTACTATGGGCAAAAGCTCCAGATTATGTGTGCTCCAGTTTCAGTAAATTCTCCCCCCTATACAACAGAGGTGGGTAAACTCTGGACCTCCAGCTGTTGTGCAACTACAAATCCCATTAGGAGTTGTAAGACTGATAGCCACAGGCATGACTTCCAGAGGTAGATGCATGATGGGATTTGTAGTTTCACCACAGCAGGAGGGCCAGAGTTTGCCTAACTTTGTTATACAAGTTAAAGCTTTTGTGTTCAAGGCTTATCTTTTTAGCTTGACTCTATCTCTTCCTGTCTGTTTATTGGCCATATAATGTGATATTAGGGGTGAAGGAGGGCAGGGTCCGGCTCAAATTTAAGGTGATAGGCTTTAGTTGGTGTAGGAGCAATATGTACTGCAGGCATTTACAAAGCTTTTGAAAGCTTTCAACAAACCTCAAGCAGCTTTCTTGAAGCTTTAATGCAACCCTGTCACTAATTTAAAAAAATCAACAAGAGCTACCATGTTGGAGTATGCTAAATACCATCCCATCTGACAGGAGGCACATCAAATTATTTATTTCTTGCAGAGAGAGGTCATATAGCACAGGACATAATGGGAGTGCTGACTGTCACTGGAAGTAAGCATCTCGGCTTAACAAGCTTTGAAGGCTTATTCACCCCATATACAGTGCGTTCCAGCGTGTTAAGCTGCTGGAACGCACTGTATCTCATGCCGGCCAGCTTCCTGTGTTCAGGGGCAGGAAGGGGTGTGGTGGTGCATTGAAGTCAATGTCACCGCAGCCATCCCCCCCCCATCATCCACCCCCCGTCAACAGTGCGATCGCCCGCACCACAATGTGTGGCAAAACAATGCCTGCGTTTCGGTCCAGTGCAAACTGAAAAAAAGTGCTTGCAGCATTTTTTCAGATCACAATGTATCAGAATACAGGCATTGTTTTGTCACGCGTTCTGGTGCGGGCGATCGCGCTATGAGGGAGTTGTGGCTGCAGTGCCATTTACTTCAATGCACCGCCACGTCCCCTTCTGCCCTGAAAGCTGGCCGGGAAGAGATACAGTGCGTTGATGGAACGCACTGAATATGGTGTAAACAAATCCTGTAGTGCAGAAGCTAAAAGGGAAACTTAAGTAAAAACAAGATTGCACGCAGGCAGGATCTTTATTGCAGAAGAGACATTTTTTGCCTCTTCTGGAATAAAACAAGATTACCTGCCTGTTGGCAATCTTCTTTGGAATGTATACTGAGGAGCGCTGCTCAGGGTACATTCTGGGGTGAATGAACTCCTGTGCACATGTGCAAGAAATACATAATTCTGGCCTGGCCAATCAAGGTGCCTGAAGATCCCAAACCTGGAAGAAGTCTGGAAGAAGATGTTGGTGAGGAAGCAATGGAATGTGAGTTTAGTTGACTTTAATGAAAGCTTGCTGAATTATTTACAGTTGGTTGTTCCATTAAGATTAGTGTTCCACATCCTCAAACTAGAGCTTAAGATTTTTTAAAGGCTTTTAGAATGCTGCAAGAAGCTGGCTGAATGCTTCCCAAGTTCTTTCTAAAAGCTTGCTGTACACCCTGTGGTCTTAGTCAAACAGAAGGCCATGTGTACAAGGCTTAGAGGAAACCGTAAGATTATAGAATTTCAGTTGAGTATATCTTTGGTGATATAGTTCTGAAATGCTGCTTAGGATGGAGAGAAACTCTGCATATGCTTTTTTTTTCCCCGTTAATGTGCTTAGTTAAAATTGTTATTGGTTTACTTTCACAGCAATTGCTAATTCTTAAATAGCTGTGTACCATCTGTACTTTGTTGGGTAATGGGCTTAGTGGATTTTTGCATCCGTGTTCTTATGTTACCATCTAACATATCCATGGGATATAAGCGTACATATGACATTTAGGCCCAGTTCACACCTGGCCGTTTTGTAGCGCGTTCCTACGCTCTGCCAAACGCTCAAACACCGAAATCCAATTATTTCCTATGGGTATGGTTCACACCTGGCGTATTACAGGCCGTATGAATGCGCTACAAAACGCCCTATGCCCAAAGAAGTACAGGAGCTTCTTTGGGTCGTTTTTGTCGCGCCTTTCCATTGGGATACAGCCAAGTAGCCCTCAAAAACGCGCGTTTGTCACCGCGAAATGCGCGACAAACGCGCATATTCGATACGCCTAGGTGTGAACCCAGCCTTAGGGTGCCTTTTTATATGTTGGAAATCTTATCAAATCACACTGATTAGGTGAAGCAGAGCAGCTTTATCAGGGGGAGGCTAGGTGATAATAGATGTCTCTTCCAATTGTTTCTTGAGTTACCTGATAACTTCTGTATCTTGTTGCAGATGATGGTGGTGCAACACCAGTTCAAGATGAGCGTGACTCTGATGATGAGGGAAACGATCATGAACAACATGGGTCAAATGGTGAAAGTCCGGCACGTCAATATGAGGTAGTAAAGCTTTTTTTTTGTGTAGTCATAATGACAATTCAGTTTCAAGGAGAAGTATTGGGAGAGTAAACTGTGCTCTTTCCAGTACTTTGAGCCAACTTGTAACACTACAGCTGTCACACACCGGCTCTATATGTCGAGAGCTGAGCGATCGTGTCACTGCCGATTGCTCAAGGTCTTCTCCCTGCAGAGAGCAGTGGCTGTTCGTCAGTACCCTCCTGGGGATTCCGCCCTCCACTCTCTTCGTCCAGTGCTCATTGGAGGGACAGAAAGGGGAGGGGCACAACTGGCTCTAGGGAGTCAGAGCCAGCTATAAATCGGGCAGCTGGGCAGATCCCGACAATATTGTCTGGATCCCTCCTGGCTGCAGCATGGCTCCGCACTGTCAGCATATAGCGGGCAATAGCCAACTATATGCTGAGTTTTGGGTCACAGTTCCTTAGTAAATGTACTCATGTGAACCAAGAGAACTAAAGCCAAAAAAAAAGGTTTGTTTAATGCAATATTATAACATGAAGCTCTCCACTCTTAGAATGAATAACACATACATATTTTATGCAATTGATGGAGGTGCCCTCCGCACACCTTTCAGCAGTCCCGGCCAACAATCAAATAAATGGTGCTCGAAGTAACTTCACGGATGGCACCGTGCAAAACACAAGATTGAAGAAAATAGGTCACCAGCACTCCATAAGTTAAAATGAATGAGTCCTTTTAATGGACAATGATGTCACAGAAATCCAACATGAGCCGACGTTTCGGGGCCACACAGGGTCCCTTCTTCAAGGCAAGAGATGTGACGAAGGAATAACATCCACAAGCTACATATATACCCCATGTAATCAAATCATTAGTTTTTTTTTTTTTTTTCAATTTTTTTTAAAAATATTCAATTTTTATTTTTATAAACTTTTTTTTTTTATTATTTTTTTTATTTTGTACTATACTTTTAGTGGCTTCTGGGAAATATTAGGGGCCTAAACAAACCCCTGATATGTCCCTTTTTAAAATAGAAAAAGAGATTGAGGACACTTTTTCTGCAGCCCCTGTTATAATTAAGCAAGAATTCTTTATACTGAGTGTTACTGTTCATTCATAACATGAGGATATAGTGTGTTGACTATATTCACAATCATGAATGAACAGGAGGTGATGTAGATCACTTCCTATTCATTCATAATTGGGCACACAGTAAACATACTATGTCAATTATTTACAAACACTCAGCGATCACTGACACGCTGTCACAGGAGGCTGAGTGAACGGTGCGGGAGGAAACCTCAGCCTCCTGTGACAGCAATGGCTGTCTTCGCCTACTCTACTGATCTGTGACAGGTGGCTGAGCCGTGCAGAGATGAGGGCCGCTCACAGCGCTCTCCTGCACTGCTCTGCTTCCTGTGACAGTTTCTCTCCTCCGTGCTGGGACACTGAGCAGCATCCAGCGGGGAGGAGAGAAATCACGGATGCACCGTTATTTCGACCAAAAAAATTGCACTTTCTGCATTTTGGGAGCTGATAACCTCCTCTGCTCCCTCTGTGTGTGCACATGGAGGGGTTGCGGAAAAGAGAAGGTTTGGGGGGTGGGGCTGTGTTCTGTGTAATGCATCAGACGTAAAGTAGGCAGGGCAGAAAACACATGCTTGGGAACGGAGAGCCCAAAATACTGTGTTATGTCCAAGAGAAGGTAGGCGCACGCTATATTTCTGTCTCAGCAGTTATTTTTCTGTACTTGGAGTGTGTTAAACGGATAAAACATAGGGAGATTTGCATATCTTGCAAAGATGTGCAAGAAAATTAGTTTTTGTTCAGATTGCGCTTTAAAATATGCAATATTCTTTCCCTGTGCCACTTTTTCACTTTAGAATGACCACAGCGATGAAGACGTGAAAGGAGGTGGCAGTGGGTCTGAGAACGAAGCCAACGATTCAGAAGAAGATGAACATAGGGAGCGTACCTCTAGCGATGTAGAGAACGGTAGCTTTAATCGTAATGCCAGCGACTCTGAAAATGAAGAAGCTCAAAATCATGTTGCCAGTGATTCAGACGATGAGCCAACCAGACATAAAGGCAGTGGTGACGATGGTACTCCTGTGAAAGGAGGAGCCAGCGACTCAGAGGAAGAGGTACGATCTAGGCATTCTGGAAGTGATTCTGATGAGGACACACCCAGTAAAATACGCATTCATGATTCTGATGACGGGCAAGGTAAAAATGAAGCCAGTGATTCTGAAGGCGAGTCTCGCACCAAGCATGTGGCTAGTGACTCAGAAGATGAGGCTCCCGCCAAGCGAGCCCATAGCGACTCGGAAGATGAGACACCCACCAAGCGTGCCCCTAGCGACTCGGAAGATGAGACACCCACCAAGCGAGCCCCTAGCGACTCGGAAGATGAGACGCCCACCAAGCGAGCCCCTAGCGACTCAGAAGATGAGGCACCCATTAAGCGAGCCCCTAGCGACTCGGAAGATGAGATGCCCACCAAGCGAGCCCCTAGTGACTCGGACGATGAGGCTCCCATTAAGCGAGCCCTTAGCGACTCAGAAGATGAGGTTCCCACTAAGCGAGCCCCTAGGGATTCGGAAGATGAGGCTCCCATCAAGCGAGCAGCTAGCGACTCAGAAGATGAGGCTCCTGCAAAGCGAGCAGCTAGCAAGTTAAAAGATAAGGCTCCTCCAAAGCGAGCAGCTAGCAAGTTGAAAGATAAGGCTCCTCCAAAGCGAACAGCTAGTGACTCGGAAGATGAGGCTCCTGCAAAGCGAGCAGCTAGCAAGTTGAAAGGAAAGGCTCCTCCAAAGCGAGCAGCTAGCAAGATGAAAGATAAGGCTCCTCCAAAGCGAACAGCTAGTGACTCGGAAGATGAGGCTCCTGCAAAGCGAGCAGCTAGCAAGTTGAAAGATAAGCCTCCTCCAAAGCGGGCAGCTAGCAAGTTGAAAGATAAGGCTCCTCCAAAGCGAACAGCTAGTGACTCAGAAGATGAGGCTCCTGCAAAGCAAGTTTTAAGTGACTCGGAAGATGAGGCTCCTGCAAAGCGAGCAGCTAGCAAGTTGAAAGATAAGGCTCCTCCAAAGCGAACAGCTAGTGACTCAGAAGATGAGGCTCCTGCAAAGCGAGTTGAAAGATAAGGCTCCTGCAAAGCGAGTTTCTAGTGACTCGGAAGATGAGGCTCCTGCAAAGCGAGTTTTAAGTGACTCGGAAGATGAGGCTCCTGCAAAGCGAGTTTTAAGTGACTCGGAAGGTGAGGCTCCTGCTAAGCGAGTTTTAAGTGACTCGGAAGATGAGGCTCCTGCAAAGCGAGTTTTAAGTGACTCGGAAGATGGGTCTCTTGCAAAGCGAGTTTTAAGTGACTCAGATGAAGCTCCCACCAAGACAGCAGCTCTTGATTCAGAGGATGAGCCTCCTACCAAGGGACCGGCTAGTGACTCTGAAGATGAAGCTCCTGTTAAACGTAAAGCTAAACATCGCAAAAAGCCAGCACGTGCCTCAAAAGACAAAACGTCCAAAAAAGCAGAGAGCGGTTCAGAAGAGGAGACTCCATCTAAGCGAGCAGCTGTTGAATCAGACGATGAAGCACCTGTGAAACGTGTAAATAGTGATTCTGAAGACGAGCGTCCCTCTAAACCAGCACATAGCAACTCCGAAGATGATACACCTGCTAAGCAAGCTGCCGACAATTCAGAGGATGAGTTTCCAAGGATTAAAAGAAAAATAGTTTCATCCGATGACAGTGATGAAGAAGAGGAAAGAAAACCAAAAAACAAAAAGAAAAGGTCACCACGACGCAGATCTGGAAGTGATGATAGTGGGAGCGAGAGAGGAAAGAAAAAGGCATCTGACAGCGAAGAAGAAAATGTGTCAAAAAGAAAAAACGTGATTTCAGACAGTGAAGATGACGAGGCTGCTGCTAAGCCAGGTATTCATTTTATCATATTTTGCTTTATTTATTTAATGAACCTGTCATGGAAGAAATAAAGGGATTGCAATTGAGCTGAACTGATTTACGTCCTGTAAGCATGTTCACATTTAAGACTTTAGTAAGTTCGTACTCCAGTTGCATACAAACTATCCATATGATTAAATGGGCATGGGGGTCACACGCCTGCTGATCGCACAGCTCCTGGTCTTTTCCCTAAAGAGAGCAGTGATTGTCTGTCTGTCACTACCCTCCTCAGCGATGTAGTAAACCGCTACAAAGTTCACTGTGTGAGTGTGTGTTTTACACCGTATGCTAGTTGGTGTGTTCAGCTTCAAGCTGCACTCAGGATTGAAATCCTAAAATACATTCAAGTACCCTAACTATCAACAAATGTATCTTATTTGTGTATCACTCGGCTGTAGATTCTCAAATCATCTCTGAATTGGTGCTGACACTGTCCTTCCTTCTGGAGGGTGGCTAAGTTCCCCATTGTTTCTGTGTGTGTTGTAAAGTAGTCGCTGCTCCAAGCTTTCTCCCGTAATGGACTACAATCTCATTACAAATTAGTTAACTAAACAAGAGATTGTAGTTCATCACAGGAGCGAGTTAATAAAATGAACTAGGATCACACTAATCCAGCACGTTATTATTCTGAGTTGCCCCACTCAAGCGGCGGCCATATTGAGTGGGGCACGTGAGATTAATAACGTGCTGGATTAGTGTGATCCTAGTTCATTTTATTACTTCATTGCTGTGCGGTATGTGTATAGGCCAATGTAGGTGGATCTGTATGTGGGTTATAATTAATCAAAATTATCTTTTTTTTTTTTTAATTCGATTAATCGAACGCGAAGATTTTAATCAGTAACAGCCCTAAAAAAACCTGCCTAACCGCTAAGGTTAAAAACAGAGGTTTAGATACACCTCTTCTGCAGAAAATGTGGAAGCCGCACAGCCACGTCAAGGCACCTCCATATAGTGCGGTCCTAACTCTAAACTATGAGAGTCTCCATCTTGGAGCACATGGGGCAGAAGATTAAATTTGGGTGCAGGTTTGTCAGGAGGAAGCCCAACCTCCCTTGAAGGCACAGGGACGCACAAGGGACCCGGCACATCACAACGGCAGCTGAGACCCCCAATGCGTCACTGCACCAAATCTGTCAAGCAAAACAATGAGTGCGATTGCCATTTGTTTTACTTTAAGAACATAGTCACAAGAAGTATACATTTCACAAGAAGAAAATGGTCCTAGTGTGCATATGTCTTTGTGACATGTTATGCTCTAAACGTACATGGGGATGCTTCCGAGGTATGAATGATTTAGTGTTCACTATAAAGTACTGCAGGAAAACATGCCAGTTTTAGATAAATTGGTAAAACAAATACAACTTTAGATAGAATGTATAGTAACTGCTTCTTCATCTGGATATTAATATGCACTCATTCTCATGTCTAATACAGCCAATAAAAAGAGCCGTATGCTCTCGGATGGGGAAGATTCTGACAGCGAATCCGAATCCAAGAAAACTCCTCAGAAGAAGAAGGTGATGTCATCTGACAGCGAGGACGAGGACAGGGATAAATCCAAGGAAGAGCCAAAAAATGCAGATAATAAAATGTTTGGTAGCGACAGTGAATCTGGGAATGAGAAGGAAGAGTAAGCATTACCAGTGTATGACGTTTTTCAGTGACGCAATCCAACATAGATCCACATAATCTGTAGATGGTTCCAGGACATTAATAGCATCGTTATTATTGCATTATGAAGGGTGCAGTATGTTTATTTTTCTTCAAATCATTGATCTGTCATAGTTTCATAGGGGGGTTATCAAAACTGGAGCAGTTGCCCATGGCAACCAATCAGCTTCTCTCTTCAGTTTGTTCAGTTAAAATTTGAAAATGAGAGATGCTGGTTGCTATGCACAGCTGCTCCAGATTTTGTCTGCTCCAGTTCTGATAAATTCCCCTCAATGTACTTTGTAAAGAATCTTGTCCACAGTAGGGATTACTTTGTCACAAGTCCAGACAGTGAATGGTTAAGTCTCTATTATGCTATAATGTATGTTTACTGGCTTGAGGTAATATTATCTTATTTATTCCACAGAAATCTAATTGCAGATATTTTTGGGGAATCTGGGGATGAAGAGGAAGAAGAGTTTACAGTAAGTCTCAGATACTTTATTGTAGAATTTGACAGGCTCTAGTCATCTTGTCCAAGTGGGTTAAATTTGTAATTTTAGATTTTCTATATCTCTTTAACTCATAGGTATATTAGTAAGTGCATGTCAGTCAGCAATCTACAGCATCAGCTCATAACTTTCAGACTGGTATTGTCATCTGTTCTGTGATTTGTCAGATGGAAGTTGTATATTAGGGCTGAAACAACTAATCGATAATGAGAATCAGTGTCAACGATTAGTTGTTAAAGCTCAGCCCCCACTCCCCGCTGCCGCAACTCTGCTCAGCTGTCCGACTTGTGATCCCCCATGTTATAGCAATGAAGTTAACATAAACATTTTTTAAAAAATGTAAATAAAATACATTTAAAAATATCAAAACAAAAATGTAAATTCCCCTGTCCCCTGCGAATGCGCGCATATGAACGGAAACAAGTCGGGTGCAACTATGTACAGAAATGACTATTCTGCTATACATGTCCGGTATCGCCATGTGCGCCGAGTGAGAGCATTGATTCTCAATAATAGTGGCCAGCTCTAAACTGATGGCCGGGCATATATATATATATATTGTTGGTCCACTTTTAGTGTGTAATTTTAAATGAAAGTTTGGTTATTTTATTATATTGGCTTGGAGTTTTTTAATTCAGATTTTAAATCCATGAAACTAACTAAAATGTCTAATGTAATGCATACAATTATTTAAAAAAAATAAAAGGTGGGAAAGTCATTTTCAGCAGGACAAATTCTGCTATGGGAGGTGCGTTGCGGTGCCATTCCTTTCAATGGCACCGCAAACACGCCTCATGCCCGCAGTGCAATCACCTGCCTTGGAATGTGTGGTACCGGAATGCTGCGCGTTCCAGTGTGGTGCAATTGCAAACAATTGTGCATGCAGTTTTATTCTGAAGTAAACTTTGTTTCCATTTATGCTTTTTATTTGAAAGAAAATATGGTATTTTTTAAATTCAATTAATCAAAAAAATAACCGGCCAACTAATCGATTTATGAAAATAATCGCTAGTTGCAGCCCTAGTTCTTCTAATATTTGACAAGGAGTTTATTGCACATATGTATACAGCGCTCAGTTTTTCTCTATCTTCTCTGCAGGGTTTTAACCAAGAGGATCTGGAAGGAGAAAAGACAGTGGCTCCAAAACCACAAGCAGAGGAAGAGTCTGACTCTGACGATGATAGGAAATCCAGTAAAATGTGAGCAGGGAACATACACCAATGCATCTCATGATGTACATAATAAACAGATGTCTTGGTGAGGTGACATGTGTTAGGCAGGGCTAGATAAATAAGTATAAATCTGGTTGTGTGCGTGATCGTGATTTTATATGGCTGCTTGTAGGGGAAGGGGGGAAGATCGCAGCACTTTAATAAATGGTCACTGTAAAGTGGAAGATTTTAGTAATAGAAAATAACAAACCTAAAGGTGCATGAACATTCTTCTTTTTTTTTTTACAACAAAGATATCGTACAGCCATACCGAGTCTAATATTTCTGCAGATGCACCAACCTTTCTCAAGAGTCCTCTGCTAAAACGTTTGGGAATTTTGCTAAGTGGTATAGTTGTTGAGAACTGATAGGGAGGGCTATCCTCACTGCCAGAAAATGTCATAAATTGTGGGATGGGGCAATTGTTTGGTTACACCTGGAAGTCGGGTGATTTGCTGTGGAGTACTAACTCCAGATTCACATGTAACTTGATAACGCAGATCTTATGAGTGGCTCGGCCTACTTTATTGAAAATTTCAGATGCTTTTCTTAAAAAAAAATAGGAAAGGGAAAACATGTAATTACTTGTCTGTTTTGATAAATATAGCCACAATTGATAATCTGCCTAGATTTTCCCCCTTACTGTTCTTTGTATGGCACAATAGATGCTTGAGATCTATGCCCTGTCTACAGAAAGCAGCACGCTGCCTTTCCCTCTTCTGGGTCTATATCCTTCCACCTGTGGTTACCACATCAGACATTATTAAGCCTGTTGTATATGGGTTTCGTGAGAGCTGGTCATTGGCAGCTTTTCATCTGTTCTTGGCCTGTTCTGTTGCTCTGGATTTCCCACACAATACAACTTTTATACTGGCTGTGGAAGCATCACCTGCCCATTTCCCTTTTGTCGATTTCTGGACTACAGGCTATACTTTTGCTTAGGCTGCAGCTAGGACGTAGACTATTTTCTCATCAACCTGCCAATCCTTTACCGTGCATGGCCAGGCACAATACCCTTTCTCTCCATGTTTTGCATGCGTCTCTTTCAAACACTCTAAATCTGTTGCTCAAGGCCCTTGTAGTGGTATACTTTTCTAGATGTTCATTTCAGAAAAGTTTTTTTTTCTTTTCATCCCTTGCCCCTCAACTGACTTCTCATTGCATTCTCACAGGAATAAACATAGGAAGACCTAGTCATAGGGGAGCAACACGTTGGTGTCCAAATTCCTTGTGGACAGGATATAAATTCCAGGTGTCTGTTTCCCCTCATAAACTCAATGCTAACAGAATTTTTACAGTACACTTGGTGAACGTTTTTAAATATAGCCATGTCTTCTATTTTCCACAGGGGTGACTTCAAATCTGACTTTGAGATGATGTTAGAGAGGAAGAAGAGCATGGGTGGTAAGCGGCGGAGAAACCGGGATGGCGGCACTTTTATAAGCGATGCAGACGATGTAGTGAATGCTATGATTATGAAAATGAATGAGGCGGCAGAGGTGAGTCACCTTTTAGAAACTAGACACTCAGGGGCGCCGTTGTAAAACTGTAGGATATCCCGAAAACCATGTTGTTTCTACAGTTTGGGGAAAAAACACTGAATTTTTTTCACTAAATAGCTAAAAATATGGAGCTCTCTTATTTCCATTGCAAACAGGTGTAAAGTCAATCAAATATGTAATGGCATTACCTGACGCCAAAAGCCTTTCCTTTTCCATATCCGATTACAGATCTGTACAGAGCTGATCTATTAGAAAGCCCAGAGCTTATAGAGGGCTGGTCATGTGTTTCGTGAATCTTTTAAGACAGAGTGGCCAGGCTTTAGGACCTAATATTTCTCACTCATCTGCTGCTACACAAATATGATTACTTTGGAGGAAGTTGTACAAAAATGTAAGTGCCTTATTTTTCGCTCCATAAGACCCAAAAGGAGGGGAAAAATGTGCCTGCGTCTTATGGAGCGAATACCTATCGCCCGGGACATGCAGTTTCTGGCGCCGGTCTGTGTCAGTCATTTATGAACAGAACCTGAAAACTAGCTCAGTCATGAAGGGGTCAATACAAGTGATCTAATTAGATCACTTGTATTAAATCGAGCGGCGGCGGTGATCCTGTCCGCCCCCTGCCGTGGTTATCGTTGACCCCCGCTCCTCTGGGGGACCGTGACCACGGTCCCCCATAGGAGCTCACCATAGAGCCCCTTGAGCAGACGAAGAACGTCGTTCTTCGTCTGCTCTGTGTGATTACTGAGACACCTGTCTCAGCGGTCACTAACTGCAGCTTCTGTGTCACAGAAGCCCTACGTCCTATCGTCGAGCGCCTTATAGAGCGCAAAATACGGTAATATCTCATTTGGAAATTGGCACTACCCGCTCTGGTGTGCAACTGAATTACGGTGGATTGGGATATATAGTTTACAAATACTGTCTCCTTTTCTTTTTTTTTTCTTTCTTTTTTTGGACATGTTTATAATGTATAGTCTGCTTTATGCTTTTGTTTTTCAGGAGGACAGAAACCTCAACACCACCAAGAAGCCAGCCCTAAAGAAACTAACCCTGCTTCCCACTGTAGTAATGCACCTTAAAAAGTAAGAATGCAAGGCATTTTCATATGGCTGTGCTGCAAATCATATAGTATAATTTGTAATGTGTATATTTGTGTGCTACCTCATATATTTTTCTATTTTCCTTTAGACAAGACTTGAAAGAGACCTTTATTGACAGTGGTGTTATGTCTGCTATTAAAGAATGGCTCACACCCCTTCCTGATCGTAGCTTGCCAGCCCTAAAGATCAGAGAGGAGCTGCTAAAGATCCTGCAAGAGGTAGTGTTACATTGGTTTAGGTTTTCACTTGCTTTTTGTTTTTTTTGTGGCCAAAACCAAACTCTTTGATTTTGGGTTCTTTCTTCCTTTTTTTTTTTTTCCTTTTACTGATTTTATTTTTTTCCCACTAGCTGCCTAGTGTAAGTCAGGAAACTTTAAAACACAGTGGCATTGGCAGAGCGGTTATGTATCTGTACAAGCATCCAAAAGAGTCAAGACCGAACAAGGATGTTGCTGGAAAGCTAATAAGTATGCATGATATCTTGTACATGTGCTACACTATAGACTGCAGATTTTACTTGGAATATGTAGTTCTCTTAAAATGAGTGAACCATAGGCTTGCTGCTTTGTAGTTCTTTCTAAATATCTTGTAATGCTCTGGAATAGTACAGCAGCTATAGGATAATAAAAGCATTTCAAGTTCTCCATCTTCTATATTTACGGTAAAGGAATGTTGAATAATATGTAACAGGATTACAAATGCTTTAAGTAAATTAGTTGTACTTTAATTCAAGTTTGGATAGAATGTGTGTTTTGTGTTGGTCTCCATTGGGATGACTGCCCCTCTTATCCCTAAGTACCCTTTCTAATGCAGAATATGAAGAAATGTCCCTGTTGGAATTGCAAGTAATATAAATCAAGAAGAGGAAATCTCTACATATTGGCATCCAAACACCAGAGTATTTATTGGAAGTTAAAGGCATGCATGAGTAGTGGCAATATAATGTGTTCAAACTTTTCACATCATAGTGCTTAATCATAAGGCTTCATCAAGGTGATATTTTCCCAATGCCTGATGTATGCTATTCATTTTCAATAAATCCACTGATGTTTAGACATCATTGATGAGACCTTTTTCTCCCTTTGAACTGTGTATTTTCCAGCTGGGTAAAGCTGTGGTCTTGCAGAGTACTATAACATTGATTTTGTTAGGTTCCTTGGCTGCAGTGTTATATGCTTTATGTACAGCAAACAATATAAACTTGACAATTTCTATGCATTCCTCCCCTGCTTTTATCCAAAGCCCAATAAAAAGCTGTAGCCAGATCACCATCTAATGCACAGCAGTAGGGTAGTAAACATGTGGTCATTATGACCATTTACAGCACAGCTTGAAGAACTTTTTACAAACATACTTGTTGGCTTTGAATGATCTACTCTAAAAATGTGTCTTACTAAGTTACCTGAAGATACCATATACCAGCACTAGAATATCTGCAATATTTTTATACTGATAGCTAAATAATGTATTCCTTTTATCTTCAGATGAATGGTCACGGCCTATCTTTGGGCTGAGCTCCAACTATAAAGGGATGACCAGGGAGGAGAGAGAGCAGAGAGATCTGGAGCAAATGCCACAGCGTAGAAGAATGAGTAGGTAAATTGTCTCCAGCTGATTATTTCTTTTTAACCCTCATCTGGTAACATTTATATTGGCGGTGTTGCAATGATGTTCATTTTGTTTACTTTACTTTGTCTGCAGTTCGGGTGGCCAGACACCAAGGAGAGACCTGGATAAGGTGTTGACAGGAGAAGAAAAGTAAGTGCATGCCCATTGTTCCACCTTTTTTTTTTTTTTCCATCTGTGTACCATCTGATGTTGACAAATTAGACTCCAAACACTCGATTTAAAATATCTGAAACCCTTATGTCATATTGCCTGTGCAGTAATAGAATGGGTACTTGTGGAATGTAGTTTTGATCAGGGTAATAATGGTTTACCAGGCAGCACGGGAGAGGTGGGGGCTGAACAGTGACGGTGTAAGAGAGAAGGTTATAATTTATTACAGCCAGCGTCGCTGGATTGCATGCGAAGTACAGCTGTGGGTTAAACCATCAAGAACCGATGTGTTTTAAGTGCCTACTGGTAAGATGTCCCCTGCCTTGCTTTTAGTAAAGTACAAAAATCAAATTTCTTGTCGAGTGGGGAAGGGTCAGAATTACTCATAGGGGGGGAATTTATCAAAACTGGAGCAGACAGAATCTGGAGCTGTTGCCCATGGCAACCAATCAGCATCTGTCTTCAATTTGCTCAGGTAAGATTTGAAATTGAGACAGAGAAGCTGATTGGTTGCAGTGCAAATTTGCTTCAGAATTGTCTGATCCAGTTTTGATAAAGTCCCCCAATAGTTTTTTTTCCTTGGCGTCCCCTGAAGGGAGGCTGTAATCAGGCTTTAAAAGAAATCTGTCAGTATAGAGATATGAGAGCTTCCATTGCTTACTTGAATGTGAAAGGGCTATGCTTCTTTTTTCCTTGCTTTGCAATTTGGCAAGTCAGCACACTGGTGCCTATTAGGTGTGGAGACAACTCGCATGCTTGCTCCAGCTTGCTGATTTACTAAAAAGAAGCATAAGTATGACAGCACCAGAGCCTTCACTCATGTCCACAGTGGCATTTGCCATATTTCTGTTTGGGGTCCTCAATTATGATAGGTTCTCAACTGGATGCTAGTGACATCCTCCTCGCCTAGGCATTGCGGAGTAGAAGGTAAGTTTATATTTTGCTTTTCTTCTAAAGTTTGACGTGTATTTTTATTTAAGCCTGTGTTTTTACATTGGGTAGGAGGTAGGGATGTCCCGATACCACTTTTTCAGGACCAAGTACAAGTACTTCCCCTCATGTACTTGCCGATACCAATTACCGATACTTTTTTTTTTTGTAAGGGACAGGCGACTTTAATGATGCCTAGTACAACTACATGTTATGTACTATGGATCATGATTTAACCTATTTATGTTAGCAGGGGAGAATTGTAAAACTATTGCTGTAATGTAGTGGAGGTGTGTGCTGTATATATGTACTACATATACATTACACACGTCCAGTACACTATAGCAATAGATTTACAGCCAGCCCTGTCCCAGCTTCCCTCACTCAGTTTCACTCCGATCCCTGTTGCCTCACGCGGTGCCTCTCGTAGTCGGCGCTGGGCATGATTGCTGCATCGCGTCTCGGTGCTCAGCTTGTGGGAGGTGCCTCGTAGTCGGCGCTGGGCATGATTGCTGCATCGCGTCTCGGTGCTCAGCTTGTGGGAGGTGCTCACAATTCTGCCCTGCTGACATGAATAGGTTAAATCATGATCCATAGTACATAATATGTACATAACATGTAGTTGTACTACGGATCATTTAACCTATTCAGATTAGCAGGGGATCATTGTAAATCAATTGCGGAAGTGCATTCTATATGCAGCGCATATACAGTACATATAGAATGCACTGCAGCAGTAGATATACAATTATCCTCTGCTAATATGAAGGGGTTAAATGATCCGTAGTACAACTACTTATGTACTACGGATCATTTAACCCCTTCATATTAGCAGAGGATAATTGTAAATCTATTGCTGCCGTGCATTCTATTTGTACTGTATATGTGCTACATATCGAATGCACTGCAGCAGTAGATTTACAATGATCGCCTGCTAACATGAATAGGTTAAATGATCCATAGTACAACTATGTTATGGACTATGGATCATTTAACCCCTTCATGTGAGCAGGGGATAATTGTAAATCTACTGCTGCAGTGCATTCTATATGTAGCACATATATACAGTACATATAGAATGCACTGCAGCAGTAGATTGTTCTTGTTCACACAAAAAAGTAAGCCCCGTCTTACTGTTGCCTCGATCGCGGTGCCTCAGGACGTCGTCGGCGCTGAGCTGGAGAGAAGCGTTGCGTCACTGCTGCTCTGGTGTGCGGCGCTCCAGGTGGGGTCGTAATTTAGGTGGCCGGTGAATGCCTAAAGCGCTGCCCACTGGAGCAGCAGTGGCGCGGTAAGTAAAAAAAAAAAAAAACATAGCGCAAGCTTCAGCGCTTTGTATCGGGGCATTTTGACAAGTACTTGTCAAAATGCCCTGTACGCCCGGCCCAAACCCGATGTACGTCAATCACACGTGACTATACACTGTTGTGAACTGCGCGTGGCGTCACAGGGACATGGCGAAACCACTCTCAGCCTTACAATGCACAGAGATTTCACAGCTCGCGGGACAAGATCTTAGGGCAGCAGACTGTGAGAGATCGTCACCAGGGTTGGTTGACTCTGCAGTTAACCCTTTACACACCAAATGTTCGCTGCCACCATGTGTTTTTTAATGGAAACACAGACCGTGCTCATCAAGTGCTGTGACAATTTAACCAGTTGACATCCGCGGTGTTAAACCCCCTTCCCATCCATGCACATATAGGCGATCGGCGGGCTATGGACCCGCTGATCGCCTATATGTGAAACACCCAGTACCGGGTGTTCGCATTGGACGGGTCTCTTCTGCCCGTGCGTGCCCGCTAGGGGGCGCGCGCGAGCAGAAAAAAATTGCCGTCTGGAGACGGCAACCCCGCAGATGCTGCAGTGCCGTCCGTCCGTTTTTTTACTACGGGCGGACGGCAAGAGGTTAAAACACTTAATGCCTATGATACCGCTGTCCTCTCAGACAGACAGGAATATGACAGGATTCACTATACAGTAGCGCTCTTCACAGAGGCAAGTATACTTTAGGTTTGTATTTCGAGCGTATGGATAAGCTTAACGATTTTTAAGATCGTCTTTTAATAAAAGAAACTGCGATGTTCAGACTTCTTGATGTTACTGGAGTTCCTTTCTTGATGTTTCAAAACAAGAGCCCCCTCTAGTTGCCTTGCAGCATCTTTTTGTCCACGCTCTAGGGAGTGTCACAGAGCCGGCCCGTGGGGGGGGGACCTTTATTTTACATTATCACTGCCCAGTTCCAAATTCTGAAATGGAGCTGATATTGTAACTCATATCATCACAGATGTTTACAACTTGTGGGTGAATGCTGGGTCACCTGGGTCATTACCTCTACCAGACCTGCTTGTGTTTATCAACTTGTCCACTGGTGACAGATAAGTACCGGGTGACATGCCTTTAATTAGGGACAGCTATAAAAGGCTTAGGGGGCTATTTGGGACTCGCTTGTGCTGCGGGGCAATAAAGATCACAGGCCAGATACGCAGATCCCTGTTCTGTGGAATGTGGAGGGACCTGGCAAATGACTAAATGAAGGTCTGCATTTGCTCTGTACTGGGGGACAAGAGAATGCTATTTTTAATACTCACACTCAAACCCCATTATCGTCACAGGAGGGTCTGAAGTAAAAGCAGACCTTGCATTTTAATGGAGTTTCACTTGCACTAGTTATTTTGATCTGTTGCAGTTTCGAGGTGTACTATGGAGAAGCTTAACTAAAGAAACAAATGTATATTGTATGGGGTTTATATCGCAGATTTCAGGTTAACATTTGACTTTTTCATTTTGTTCAGAGCATTAAGACCCGGTGACCCAGGTTTCTGTGCTCGTGCCCGTGTTCCTATGCCTTCCAACAAGGATTATGTAGTCCGACCAAAGTGGAATGTGGAAATGGAAACTTCTCGGGTAAGTTAATAGACCATGTTCAAAAAAAACTTGAACCACTTTTCTCTCAACTATTCTCCCTTTTGAATGAGTGGCCTTTGTTTTACTAAAACTCCTGACTCTAAGGAACTGTCTTACTACTGAACGTTCTTTGCTGCTCTCCTGTGCCCTTCTTTTCCTCCCTTTTTCTTCTGTTCTTTCACTTATTATGATCGAATCCTGAGTCAGTTTGGAGGGGCTCGGAAAGGTATTAATCGCCTGGAGAAGCACAAAAGACGTTTTGCTGAACAGAAAAGGCTCACTAAAACCATTCGTGCCGTCAAATTCAGCATAGAGGGGAACAGGATGCCCCTGTGATATTGGAGCCAAGAACCTCACTGTCTCCTTTGAGAGGTAGCATCCATAACCACCTCTGCCGCTGTAAGAAGACCAGGGTGTGCTCTGCATGCACCTTTTATCTGCTGCTAAGACCATCCCCACCAACATCACTTGGCTGATTTGTGAAAACTAAAGCAATTGAAAACTAGGGTTATTGCCCATAGCAACTGCTCAGATTTCATTTTATGACAGCTGGAATCTGGTTACTGTGGAAACCGCTCCACTTTTCTTTGCTCTAGTTAAAATGAATGAGTCCCACTAAGATCATCGGCATTGCTTATTATTCATGGGTTCATTTTAAAGAGCAACATTTTGCAGTAATATAATTTGTTGTGACTTGTGTCATCAGGTCGGCTGTATCACTTTATTTACCTGTTCAAAACAATAGTTAAACACAACCTAAATTGCAAGCGTTATGTGATCACTTTTTTTATTTTACTGGGTGGAGTGTTGGAGCTTTCCACATCTACAGTAGATTAGTCATCGGTCAGCCTGTATAGGTACTTGGCATTTTGTATAACTTTTTTCTTGGTTTTTCAACAGTTTTTATTTTATATTATCGGGAGTTGCTGCTTTTCAGATAGTTGTGCACCAAGACCACAACACAACTATGACAGAGCTTATAATAGCAGAAAGCACCAGAGCATCAGTGTATACAATAGACATTCCAGAAGGTCACTTGCAAGAAAGCTAATCATTTGGCAATTCCCTATAGGGAACGCTTTTGTGCACTAATGTGTTAAATATTAGAGCTGTATAAGTATGAGATTTTTCTAGAATGTTTGATCTCCGATTTAAAAATGTGTGCAACTTCCCTATTATTTCAGTACTATGCTTTACACTTAATATAACATAATTAACAGGGCTTGAAAAATCCACTCGTCCTCTCGTCGGTGACGAGAGGACTGCGGGCCCGACGAGCAGCTTCCCAGGACGGCCGTTGTAATTACACGGCCAGCCGGGAGCTTTACATTCAAGCGGTCGAGCGTCTTGAGACGCCCGATCGCTTGTATAACAGCTGTTGTCACTGCCGTTGCCGGTCCCGAGATCCACTGTGCCCGATGCGGCCGGGACCGGAATGGCTCTGTGACAGAAGATCAAAGGGAGCTCAGTACACGACCTCCCTTTGATCTACTCTCCAGTCCCCGAATGCAGGAAGTGATGTATATTACATCACTTCCTACATTCAGTGTCACTTTCCAGCTACAGAAGCTGATGAAGCCGATCTCTGCTTCATCAGCTTCTCTGGGGGTGCCTAGGTGACATTAGGGGTATTGGAGACCCCTGATGCCTCCATAAAGAGACATCCATGTGATGGCAATAAAGTTGTGTAAAAAAAATAAATAAGTAATACAAAAATGAAAGAATCATAAAAAAATAAAGCCTTAAAACATATTTATTTTTTTTTCTTTTTAAAGTCTTCCGCCACCCATATACACATGCAGATATGCGTCGGGTGCGCCTACGTGCAAAAACAACGATTGTGCCGCACATGTTACATATAACCGCGAATGTCGGAGTGTGAGCAATAATTTTAGGGCCATTACTTATAACACTTCGCCTATGGACAATTTTCAGTGTGGTAGTTTTTTGCGATTTTGCGGGCGCACGCAATTTTAAGGCTTGACATGTTTGGTGTCTATTTACCCGACGTGATCCCGTCTTTTATCTTTTACCAAAAATATGGGTAAGAATAGATGTTTTATAACGTAACGTAGGGAAACTTTTTATTTACGGTACTTTTTTCATTATATAGTAAAGAAATAATCACCACCCGCCCCCCCTGGTGATTTTATATACCACCAAAAGAAAGCTCTATTTGTCCCCAAAAAATTAAACCTAAATTGCAAGGCGATAGCCCGGTCATGCTGACTGGTGACATTTTTGACTGACTGGTGAGACACCCTAACATTTTTCAAGCCCTGATAATTAAGAATAAACACTGTTTTTTTTTTTTGTTTTTTTTTTACCCCCCCAAAAAAACTGAATTACACACCTTCAGGATATATGGTTATACAATGGAATGGCCTGATGGTTCTGTTTTTGAATTCTACTTGTGAAGATTCGGTAATAGTCATACATGCGTGTATCATTGCTTTCATGGAACATGCATGCACCACAGGCTGTGGTGATAAGGCAGTTACGTGCATGTGCGTGCTTATACTAAGAAATGAATATGCTTTAGGCATTGAAAATGGCAATAACTCCTTTTTAAAGTAAACCCTTTTATATCGAAAAATAATGTACGCCTTCAACATCAGTGCCTATAGGGACCTTTTTTAATATCTTCTCGAGTGCCCTGGGACCATTGAATTCCATGCCACTCCGAAGTGAAAATATGAGAACTAGAAACTATAACCTGGCCCTTTCCCTTACTGTTGGTCTTAAAACACAATTGGAGAGTTCAGTAGTCAGTAACTGGGTAAAGGTAGAGCTGTCCAGCCATCAAGGTTGCTTTACGAAGGCTCCTATCAGAGTGCTTTGGTGTTCCGGGGTCCTGGGGTGTTTTATGAGACACTGAAAGGTATATACAGGCAGCACATGGTACCTGCTTTTTATTGCCATTGTGGGGTTTACATAGCATTATTTAAGGAAAGATTTACCTTTTAAACCCTTTGTTTATGAATCTGATGTATGACATATACAAACCAATCCATTTTCTTTTTATCAGGGAGCTTCAAAGAAAGGAGTAAGTCGATTGGACAAACAGATGAGGAAGTTTACAGACAGCCGTAAGAAGACCCGAATTGGCCATGCTGTGAAGATCAGCATAGAGGGGAACAAGATGCCATTGTGACACCCACTGTTCTCTTATGTGTCAGGATAGTGCTGGGCCTCTTCATGAACTCTATGTTGGCCCCATTGTACTATCACTAAATTGGACTCTGTGGAGCCTTTTGCAATATTTTTAATGCATTTTTCCCTCCCCCCTAAACCTCCCCTGTAAATGTGTTCTATTCCTTGCAGGAGACCTGTCTTCTCCTGTGCTTCCCCAGTCATAGAGAGAACAAGGTCCCCGTTTGTGGGCCTTATTTAATGCTGTTTGTACAGATTCATTTCTCTTCGTACCTCAATATCTGGATTTCGGACAATAAAATTCTCTCTTGGTTTTTCTAACTTTGTCGTAAGTCTACGTTTTGCAGAAAATGTGGTTGTGGCAAATGGAAACTTTTTATTCCTTTTTATTATGCTGTCGCAGTTTTGATCGGAAAACTGAAACCGTTTCATTGAAGGTTCATTTTTTAATGCAGGAGAAATGAAACATGCCTACTGTTAGATTTTTATTCTACGATGCAGATGTATGTACCCAGAAAGATAGTACAGTATGATGGGCAGTGGTTAACATGACAGATTCTCTGGAGAATAATTGGCATGCTGTTGATGCAGAGAATGAGATGTTTATAATGCTGAAGGACAGCAGAAATGACCAGATAAGACTAATGTTCTCAGCCAGGCTGACCCGAAATGTTGAGGCAACAGTGCTGACTTGGAGCAGAGGCAGTTTTATGTGTTATTAGTCCAGCCTTTAAACTAGTGGATATTAAATACCTTTTACCTTGTGGACAAGAAGCATACGCCTCAGTCTTAAATAAACCTAAGGAAATATGAAGGCCACCATTCTTGACCTGTCCTGAAAATGCTAGCTCCATGTCTGTCATGCAAATCCAGTGGCTTGAGTACTTTCTCAGTCACTGACCTGAAGTAGGTATGCAGATTAGGATTTCTGATTCCAAACTGACTGTTTCTGAGCTGAGAAAGCTAGACAACTAGCATTTTCTGATGAATATCTGCAATGGCATCTTCAATATTTCTCTTTGCGCGTTTCCTTTAAAAAAAAATGTAAAAGTTGACACTTTCTGGGATTTAACATGTGGCTATAGTATGCAATTAGCAGCTGTATTTTTTTTTTTTTTTACGTAGGCTACTGGAGCTCACAAAATGGGTATTTTCTCCAATAAGGTGTCAGTTTAGAGGCTATTGTAGCTATCTCGTGAGCGTGGGTGATTGGGCAAGTTTGTATCAGTGTACTACAGGTATCTGCGGCTGTGGCACAACACTTACCCCTACTTTTGCTTTTGGAAGGGTATTTATAACTTCAACTTGCCATACTTCACTACTATGAATTCCCCCCCAATTCTTCCTTTTATGTGAGGCTATTTCCAGTCAATAACCAATCGTTGACCATGTCTTGAGTTTAGACCACAGCGAGTAGTGTATCTCTGGTTGGTATCAGGGACTGGTACTGAGTCTATACCATTCTTCCTACAGTTTAAGGCTCTATCACTTCACAGAAGACAACTTTGGATCTGACAATTGGTCAGCAGTCGTCGGGCTTCTATTTTTTATTTTTTTTGCTTTGGGCACTGGCATGTCTAATGGTGTCTGTTATGCTGAAGAAACATCTGGACAGCCATTTCTTGGGAAAGCTGTCTGGGCCCTGCTTCCCACTTTGATCTACTGTATTACTGTCCTAGTGGCGCGATGCTTGGTGCTGCCCAAATTCTTTGCTGGTTAGGGTGGCTGATCACTAAAGGTGGCCATACACCTTACAATTATCGGTCAGTTTTAATTGTACCGTCATCGCACCCTCGTTCAATTTCTGCATAATAATGCACATACCAATGTAGATTTCGATAATTGTACGTCAGCAATACTAACTGGCCAGATTTTCGCATATCAACAGAACAGATTTTCGTTTGTGCATTGTCCACGTTGCAATTTATTTTTTTTGTACGATTCAAAAAAAGTTTTTTCTAGTCTGCCTGATAGATGAAATTCCGCCAGTTGTACAGTAATTGCGATTGTTGACTTCCCATCAACTGGCTGATTATCGTACGAAAAAACGATTTTTGTTCAGAAATCAAATGATAATTGCAAGGTGTATGGGCAACTTTAGTGAACTAGGCAGTGTTTATTCTTGGCACAGCTGTTCCCATTCAGGGGCTTCATCTGTAGATGCTATAACCATAGTATTGGCTCTTGGGGCTGTTTTTCAGTAAATCTAGGCAGCGCGTTAGTCCTCTGCAGAGACACCACTGCTTTCACACATCTAGCAATGGATCCTTCTCTACAACCTGCTGGCAGTGGCTATGCTTTTGTCGCACCTTTTTGTTTTCATGCACCTGGGATAAATTGGCTGATTTTTTTAAACTGAAAGCTCAACTGGGTTTTATCCTCTTTAAGCTGCCCATACACTTTACAACCATCGCACGACTTTTGTTGTGCAATGATTGTAAGGTGATTAAAATGTTCGTACGATCTGCCCATGTTGGACAGGCAGATCGTACTTGCGATCATCACAAGCCCTCCCCGCTGAGGGGAGGGCTTCCGATGATTGCAGTGCTGAGCGGGCAGTGTGCGCTTGCGCACACCGGGCCGTGCGGCATTCGTCTTCCGAGCACGCCACCAACCTGCCGAAAACTGTACGATTTTCTGCAGGTTTTCCAGCGTGCTCGTAAGACGAAAGTCGTGCAACCTTAGAGTAGAAGCGGTCGCACGCTGCCCATACACCTGCCGATCAACGATAATCGGCAGGTGTATGGGCACCTATATAGTCCCTTGTGCTGTTTTAAAACACTGTTGCAAATTTGGTTATTCATCTCGGCTGTAGAAGCGAATGTAAACTGAATGCCTCTTCATTGTGTACATTGGGAGTGCCATGATGTCACGGCTGATCTGTTACAACCTTGTCCAGTGATCTGCTGCTGCACAGCATCATGCGGGGTCTCCACTGACCAGATTTAGATCAACATCCCTCCCACGATAAAATCGCACATGTCTAGGTCGTAGTAAAACAAGAGGATGAAGCTGGAGCAGAGCTAGAAATCCCAATATCCTAAATCACTTGCCCCCCCCCCCCCCCCCCACAAGGGTTAAGTGCTCATTTTTGTCTAGGTGCTGAAAAAAAAGTTATACTCA